CACAATAGGAATGCCTTCCGTTCTGTAATTTGGAGAACAGGTACCTTTTCTTAGCTTTTCCAGGAGACTCCCCAAGATTGGGTGGTCCAGGGCTCACCAGACGGCTACCACATGGCGGCGGGAGCCCCGTCCCACTCTGCCGTGGCCTCTCCAGCCCTTGAGCTGGTCTCACCCTGCCCCAGCCACGTCCCCGGCAGCTTTAGGTGTAGTTGTGGGACCCATCACTCGGCCTGTACTTGCCTCCGGAGGATTCATTCTGATTAGGCTTTCCTCCTGCATGTTGAATTTCCTTCAGCTTTAAGAGGAAGAGTGGAGTAAATATTCTGATTTAATGCACTTTTACTTGTATAAAAAGTTCTGTGATAGACAGTATGTATAGCCCTTTATATGAGCATTGGATTTGGATTTCTCTCCGGTTGTAAATAGGAACTGTATTATCTAAGACTGCTGTAGAAAATTCATTTGTGGTGTCACTTTTTGATTAAAGCTCTTTAATCCAGATGCAACTACAGTGGGTTTTACTTGACAGTCTAATGAAATTTAGTACATTGTGTCTCATATTTAATACTTCAAGGCGAACTTCAAAGACTACAGTACAGAGCTTCCAGGTGGGAGCACAGAGATGTGGGGAGAATGGCACGCTCAGAGAGCATGGAAGCTCCATGCCCTTTCCCAAATTCCCTATGCATCTCTTCCATCTGGCTGTTTCTGAGTATATCCTTTTATGCTAAACCAGTAACCTAGTAAGTAAAAAAGGGAAGGGGACTGCGGGGGCGGGGGGGTGGCTATAGAGCCTTTCTTTCAGAATCTCCCCAGATTAGGTTTAAGTATATGTAATGAAACCTGCAGCCTAGTCCTACCTCCCAGAACAGTGGAGCTTCTGCAGAGGAATTGAAAGGATTGTGTCACTTTGGTCAATGTCTTATCGACAAGGCCCACAGGACCAGGAAGAGCTTCAGAAGTCTCAACGGGGTCCTTTAATAGAATGCAGACTGCAGTTACACGTGCTAAAAAGGCCAGAAAGACATCTTTGCTCTTCAAAGAAGCTGGCTGTTAGTGGTTATAGGGAACAAAATGTTCCTTTTGTATAGACTGATTGCTACCTGTTTCTGGCTTTTCATCCTTTAAAAGAACTTGCTTAATGGGGCGCCTGGGTGGCTCAGTTAGGCATCTGACTTCAGCTCAGGTCATGATCTCACAGTTTGTGAGTTGAAGCCCCACATCTGGCTCTCTGCTGTCAGCACAGAGCCCACTTCAGATCCTGTCTCCTCTCTTTGTCCCTCCACTGCTCGCTCGCTCGCTCTCTCAAAACAAAACAAAAAGGATAAAAGCAAAAAAACTTGTTTAAGAGTGTTCCTGCCACACAGCCAAGTCAGAGTCAGGAGATGGTGACGGGGCCTTTCTGGGGCCCAAAAGATTCCAAGTGCAGTCACACAAACTAAAGACTTTGGAAGCCTAGACCAATTATTGAATGTTCGGCACTTTATTAAATAAGCTCCAAAATTACATACAAATCAAAAGGAATAAAACCAATAAATAGTTATTCGGCAAAATCTCTCTCCATAGCAGCCAGCAGTGCCGAGCCCAGGCCTGAGGTCCTGCTGTGGCAAGAGGGCTGGACTGCCATGCTCACTCCCTGGGGACAGCGCCCCAGGGACACGCCCACCCCTCCACATCAGTTCTCATTCGTTTCCGTCCCATTCGTTACTCATTTTACATACATGAAACACACCGCAAAGTACATACTAATAAGCCAAGAGCTTTATTGATGCAGCAGGCACTTTACAATGAACCCAAGAGAGCCCGTCTTCTCTGGGAAGACGGGATGTCTGTACAAACCCTTGAAGTTTTTACTACTTCAAAAAAACAAGCTCTCCCTTTTACCACAGCCCTTGGATCTGTACCTGCCCAAGTCGTCCCTCCCCCATTTTAAAGAGGCAGAGCACACAGGTACACCTGACCAACGCTGGCCAGCCACTCCAGGAGACAGTTACAATGTCAGTTCCGTGTTACTTGTGGACAAAGGCATAGACTATCAGATCCTGCAAAGGATTTAGGAAACAGACGATTTCTCCCTCCACCTTGAAAATAAAATACACTTCAGCTGATGCATGTCCTGAAATAGTTTAGCTGGGAGTTCCTAGGAAGATGGTCCATTGTCAATCCCTTCTTCATCAGCCTGTGCATCCAAAATTCTTCTCAAGGTAACATGAGTCCTTTTTTTTTTTTTTAAACAGTCTTTCTTGCTGTAAGAACTCTTATAATGGAGCCTAGTCCTCCTACTGCTAATGCCTGTGGGGGCAGGAAAAGGAAAGGAGTGAAATGAGACATGGCTGGCCACGTGGGAGCCTGGCTTGCCAGGGAAGAAGGGACCAAGCATTCCCAGACCTAGGTCCCACCGCGTCACGGACCCTCTCGAAAAAGGGTTCCTGCAACAGCACAGTTAAGGAGGTGACGAGAGAGCCCCCATTCTAGGCGTGGAGCCCTGTCCTGGAGCCAGGGGTCCCGAAGAGCTGCTAGCTCGAGACAGCAGAGCTGGGCTTGAGAACACTGTTACCAAGCACATACACAGCACAGCCCCCCAAGTTTCCCTTTTTGACAAGCTGTTTCCGGCCTGCCGGTACTGCCCTAGACACTTAAATAGACACGAGCTCATTATAGCTGCCTCCCTGAGGCCTCCTTAGAAATGCCAGCAGGGCTCGGCACCAAGTTGCCTTAAAGGGACCAAAGGGCCTGGCCTCCCCACCACACAGAGGGCTTGCTCAGCTCCCGAGTACCAGAGCCACCCCCACCAAGCCCAGGAGTTCACCTCCCGACGGCGCAGGCACAGCACACCCCACAGCAGGACCAAAGGCCACCACCGCGGCACAGCACCAAGGCTGCCCAAGTGGCTGACCCCTCAAAACTTTTATGGAGAGTTTTAGATACCGTGTTGGTAATAGCCTGGTCTCCTATACTGACAAGCGAGCTTCCTGTAGCTCTACGGGGCAGGGGGACATTGGTACCTAGGCAGGACACGGGCTACTTGAAACGGCTTGCTCTTCTAACGACCTGAACAAAGGACAGGCACAGCTTTTTATGCTTCAGGTGGATGAAGGCCCTGTTAAGTAAACATTCAGGTTTCTGCCACTGCCTTCTCTGGCCTAGCGAAGCTGCAGCACAGCAGGAAGCCCCTAGAGTTAGCGAGGGGCTCAGCCTGCATCCTTAAGAGCCCCCCAACCGCCACCTCCCACCAATGCAAAGCAGCTGCCTCCACTAAAGTCTTAGGAAGCCCCAGCTTCAAGCCTGCCTCCCTCCCACCTGGGACTCCCTGTCCCTCTTCCCATGCCAAGTCACCTGTCCCCATGACATGCCCGGCATAAATCAGCAGCTAAAGTAATTGCAATTACCAGAGACAGTGAACCCCTACCAAGTGCTTCCACGGGAGAAGTGATCAGATGTCCCAGGTTGCTTTAGGCGTGGCCCCTTATTATTATGACAATCAGACTGTCCCATGTTATTGTGGGAAATCTAGCCCGCGGATCTGAACCCTAGAACTGGGGCGAGTCCGTGAGCTGCCCACATGAGCAGTGTGTTCACCTACCTTTTCATGCCATTGGAGTAACACCGCACTGCTGTTTTCTGTGGGCTTCTCAAACCCTTTATAAATGTACTTCATTAGCAAGTCAATGCCATTTCTGTCCAGTGACTGCACAGCCTGCTCAATTTCACTGCTCTTAAAATTTGTAAGCACTTTCAGCACCACGCCCTGGGCTCGTTCCTATAAAGGAAAGAGAAAGGGAGTGACACCCAGAGCCACAGCCCAGGCACATCCATGTCCTCCAAGACCGGCACAGAAATACCAAACCAAGTGGTCAGAACTCTTAGAAACACTGCCCAATTTCTAATTTGTCTGGGATGGTTAAAAACTAAGTGGGCTGAAATACCTTTATTGATTTAAATTTCAAGTATCCCTTATTCATGCTAATAAGTTATTCCACTTATTTTGGGGGAGTAAGTGGTTTGTCAGAGAGAAGCATACCTGCGAAGCCTCAGATTCCACAAGATCCTAACTGTGGAGATCTACTTTCTGAACAGGTGTGCTAGGCTGCAGTTTCCCTCTGCGTTCACCCCAGTAACACAGAAGCCACTTCCCTCTGCCTGAGAGGTGTAGCCATTGATTACATCAAGATGCTGTGACAAGACAGCAAAACCCCAGGTTGAGAGAGACCCCTTTCCCTGGACCAAATTTTAGACAGCTTCTAAACAGCTGTGATGCAGTAAACACAAATGTATCTTCTCACCTTGTTTTTAAAGGCAGGAAATTTTAAAAGCACTGAAAATACTTATGCAAATAAAGCCTATTCGATAACCTTTAAAGCAGAAACTGCTAAGTCCCATGTGGCATGCTAATTTATAGTTTTGCTAAGCAGCAAGGGCTGGGCCGACTTCTCACCCCATGAGGCTCTGGGGAGAAGTGAATGTTTCTTTGGGGAGCTTTTACTATAAACACCGACAGCTTTGATGTCAGGAGTGCCAGCCAGGAGGCTTCCATGGAAGCACTGCCCAGTGCCAACCCACTCCCTTAGTAGATACTCACTGATGCTAACACTAAATAGATGCTGTCTGAAGCCCCGTGGAAGTCACGCTCAGCTGGGGACACGGACAACCACAACCCTGGTCCCAACACCACCCGGCAAAGCTGCAGCAGAGCCCCCTTTACCTTCACGGCCTGATTCTTGGTGTTGACGGGAGAGTTCCGCAAGGCTGCATGGAATGCCCGAAGCATGTCCCCTGTGCATCACCACCAGTTAAGGATGGCTAGGCTCAAGCATGTTCACGCTTTTATTAATGAACTCATTTCAAAAACAGCTCAAGAGAGGAGTCAAGAGATATCCACATTCACCCACCTCCCACCGCAGCTTCCAGGTGGCCACAGCCCGTTCAGAGAGTAGCCTGTGGCTTTCCTGAGCCACAGACAGTAGAGGACACCTCTGCCAACAGTGCAAGCCCCTCCTTCTGCCGCCCCCTAAAACACATTTGGACACTCCTTCCCTCCCTGGAAACAAGTGCCCTCTTGGGGTGACCTGCAGCAAAACCTGACGGAGCTTGCTTACAACTGCTTGGTCCTGGGCACCACGTCTGCCCCATCGGATCCTGACAACAACAGTGCGCGGCTATCATTCTCATCTTCTCATTCTCAAAGAAGAATGAAGGCACAAACGGAGATCTCCTCTTAATCCAATGTTTTCTCAGTTAAACTGCTAAAGAAATTAAGATGTACTAAAATTTCTATCTTCTAAGACCTACTTAGGTCTGTGAGGTCCCAGCTGCTACTAGGAGGAAGATTTATTAATCTAAAAGAAGCTTTTCCCCCAAATATGAGTTGATCCTCTCCCCTCCCCGCAACCTTAGTTGCAATCCTGACACCTTCTTTGCTGAGTTCCAAATATACCACACTCAAAAGAAAATGACAATCTGGGTTAGGTCCCCAAAGGTGACACCTATTTTAAACTGAATTACATCAGCCAACTTTCATTTCCTCATCTGAAACACTGGCTTCAGCCAAAAAGCTTCAAAAATAGAACAAGGAATGGCTTCTACCCAATCAGGTCTCTACTCCTGTTCATGCAGTGATACCTACGTGTGAACAGACAGAGACTCCGGAGCAACGCCTAGTCCCATCTTCCCTAGTGTGGGCTCCATCTTGACGGAGCTGGGCCCACACCACTCAGGAGCCACTCTGGCTGAGCTCCCCAGGCCCCTGCTGGGCCCTGATCCACCTTCCACAATGGACAGACGGCCCACCCCCTATATCTGTTGGCTTTGGAATTCCTTTCCCTCAGCCAAGCAAGGGCCAGTCTGGTAGCAGCCACTGATAACTTCTACCTTAGAAAACAGTTCTGATTTGGCGTCCCAGAACAATGAGCAGAGTCTCAGAAGCTTAAAGAAATGTAGGCTGGCTCTCTTTGCTAACCAGCATGGCTGGCAAACAAAATTACTCAGGAGATGGATGGGGAAGGGCAGGGTAACTAGTCCCCAGGGACAAAAAGAGTCACCCTTTATTTACCTCTGTAGTGCCGACCTACCAAGCATTCGCTATAGATGTTGATGGGTGGAGGGCCTTTAGCAGCTTGGGGAGGAGGGAGGGCACAGTATTTATCCAGCTGGCCTCAGGGCTCAGCTTAGAGAACAGGCTGGGGAATGCGCCCCCTTGTCTCCTCTAGATCAGGGCTCCTCAACCACAGCATTAACATTCTAGACCACATGATTGATGTCAGGTCTGCCCTGTGCATCACACGATATTTAGCAGCATCCCTGGCTGCTACCCACTAGATCCTAGCAGGATTTCCAAGTTGTGATAATCAAAGTGTCTCCAAACAATGCCAAATTTCTTCAGGGGGAAGAAAGAGTGCAAAACTGCTCAAAACCATTGCTTTGGACCTGTTCCTGAGGACCAGAAAGTTCTTCAGTGAGGAAGAAAAGGAAGGAATACTTTAAAATCCTTATCCTGTACCAGGTGCTTTCACATGTCCTCTCATTACTGCTATCAACCCTCTGTGACAAGAATCATTATTCTCATTTGGGAGGCAATGGATTTGAAGCTCAGAAAAGGGAAATGACCTGCCCAAGGTCACAAAGTTAAGCTGTCCAGCCGGCCTTCAAACCCAAGGATGCCCAACTCCAAAGCCAAGCTCTTTCTCTAATCCCCTGCTGTCACTCTACCCACAGACCCAAGCTGCATGTCTAGGGCACTCGCTGCGTGCCCAGTACTGTGAAGTTTTTTGCAATGTTGTTCCGTGATGCTCCCATGGAACCTGTAAGGCCAGCATGGTTCCCCTCCTTTTCACAGAAGAGGATGCTGAGGTTCAGAGAAGGTGTGAGGTCACACAGCTATAGCATGACAGAGTGAGGTTTGCATTGATACACAGCCCATGTTCTTTCTATTTCATCTGCCTGATTCCCTACCATGACTCAATTCCCTTTGCAGCAGTAGGACAGGCCTCCTCCTCCTCCTCCTCCCTACATTTCCCCACTCCAATCAACCAACCTCTACCCCTTCCTCTGGACTTTGTTCTAAGACTCTTCTATTAGAAGCCTGTTCTATAGTTTAAACTCAGTAATATCACTATAAGTCCAATATCTGGCACATGATAGGGATTCAGTAAATACTAGTTCTCCTTCCTCCTCCTTCCCTGGGCTCCACATTTGCCAGGATTTCAGTTCTCATTGCTAACCTCCCTTTCCCCAATCCCAAGAGGTATACTGTCCATGGTAACAAGGTTTCTGACACAGCCACTAGTGGAGAAACTGCACCCACTGGATGTGCTAAACCTAGGCCTCCAAGCAGCCTCAAGAAACCTATCATTAGGGGCATAGCAAGAGAGGACTTTCAACAAGTCCCTGCAGCATCAGGACCAACACCTCAGATAACCAGACCTTGTTCTCCCCATCTGTAGATAGTTCTCGGCCACACGCCTGACCCTGGAGTCTTTTTGGCATTGCCTGCCCATGAGCCAGGTTCTGCATCAGAACGCAGAATCAATCTTCCCTCATGAGGGGTCCTTCTCATGACCCCGATTCACCAATGGGGTAAACAGGGTGATCCTGATGGGGCAGGAAATACAAGTTTGAATCCCCACCTTTGAAAACACATTCCTGTTCAAACAAAGAAAGTCTGAAGGTTTTTGTTTCAAAGGCACGGTGGAGGAACACTGCAGGACTCCTCCCTAAGGTAGTCCACGGGCCTGACTTCCCAAGCTGAGTCAACTGATTAAACACTCAGAATCTGATTTATATACATCATGAGCCTCCAACCCTGCCCTGGCAAGTGTGGGGGAGGGGCAGGCACTTCCTGTAACACCATTTGAATAAAGAAAAATCCTTCCTGTGAGAATAAGTCAGTTTCCTGTGCTCAAACTGCTAAGGGACCGAGCGGGCTGTGACAACCACCTCTATTTTTAATCTTGTTTTCTAAATGCTTGCTCTCTGTGGTCACAGGAATAGTCATTTCCAGTCATGAGGCTCTACTTTTACATTTCACTTCATACTATCTGGTTTTTCTTAGCTCTAAACTACTAGTTTTTCCCACCGCTTCCTGCACAAGAAGGCTATTGCGGGTAGGAAGCCAAAACTCACTTGTTGAAACGTGGCTGAGACCATCAAGGTCCACAGCTCAAGGTGTTCATAGGGAACTGAGGACAGGTGCAAAACAGTGGCATTAACCTGGAGGGTCAGATTGATTCTGGGGTCGGAGGTGCACAATCTCTGACCTCAGGGCTGGGCTAGGGCTGCAGCCTTCGCTCCCCCTTGGGTCCCTTCTTCCCCACAGCCATCCACCCACCTATTTTCCTGTGGTGCTGCAATCCGGCCCAAGAGGACAGTGCCCAGGAGCCACCCAGGCTGCTCAATTACTCAGCGGGGGCTCACTTCTGCCCCTGCCTCCCATCAAGCTCGAGAATGGCCCCATTTCCTGCAAGGGAGGGACGGAGTGATAGGGAGCCCAAGCCACGGTCAGTCGGAGGGGATGAGGACACCGGGGGAGACGAGGGCAGGCCTCGCGGAGGAGTGCGGGGCCTGCGGGCGGCAGGCGAGTCGGGCGTGCCTCGGAGCCTGGCGAGCCGGCGGGTCCACCAGGGTCTAGGGGCCTCGTGGAGCCACGCTGCTGGGGGAACCTCCGAGGGCCGGAGCCCGGGTCGGAGGGAAGGCGGTGGGGGATACCGGGCTGAGGGAACCCGGTTCGAGGGGAGCCGGATCGGAAGGGACTTGGGAGACGGACCTCAGGGGCCCCGGGGTGAGAGGAGTAGGGAGGCCCGCCTCAGGGGAGCGCGGCCCGCCGCGCCGGTTAAGGATATTGCCGCAGAAGGCCGTCCACCTCGCTAGGGTCCGGGCCTGGCTCGGCCGCCGCCGCCGCCGCCTCCTCCTGCTCGTCCACGAATTTGTTCTCGTCAAACTCGTCGATGTCCACCCGACGGAAGCGCGAGGACAGCGTGTTCCGGGCCATGGCGGGGAGTCGGCGCCCGCTCAGCCGGCTCCTCTCCGGGTCCGACCTCGGCTCTACTCCGTTCGGCACCGGCTCAGGCTCGGGGGCGGGAAGCGGCCGCCGGGCGCCTCCTCCACCTCCTCCGCGCGCAGACGCCACTGTCCGCCCACTTCCGGGCCACGCCGGAACCGGAAGTGCCGGTGGGCGGGAGGGGCGGAGCCCTGTGGGAGACTGGCTGGAAGCGCTGGAGAAACCACCTTATAGTCGTTCCCACGGCCTTCAGCGGGACTTTCATCTTCGGGGAGCCCCAGTCTTGCTGTCTGAGTGGGCGCCCTGTCCCCACACAGGTCCCAACATCGTGGACGCTATAACTGTGCTCCTTCTTTGGCTTCTCCTGAATCCGAAGAGCCCCTGGCCTTGGAAGGGGCCTGGCGCGGCATAGCCGCGGACGCAGAGGGGAGGGGGAGTGCGTCACGGGGCCCTGAGGATAAGGCTCCTGGCTGTCGGGTGCTGGGCAGGCTTCTTTGAGAAAAAAACCTTCGAGCTGAGGGATGAGTAGTAGTTCTACCTC